ACCAAATACTGAGATGCTGTAATTATTTATGACAGTTAAAATCTCCTGATGTATTCAAATAAAAGCCAAGCATATAGGGAAAACACGTGCTGTGGAGGAAGGTCATAGTATGAAAGAAAAGATGGCTTGCTTTGTCCGCAGGTCACATTGACAGGCAAGCTAGAAATACATGTAAGAGATGCAGACCCAAATGTGTTAGATTTACGGGGGAACTCCGTAGCTGCTGCCATTGGACTATTTTCAGGTGTTTGGATGAGTGAATGACCCAAATATAGTTTAAGCCTGTGACTCTTTCATTTTAATAGCAATATAAATACAGTAGGTGAAGGCTAAGAGTGCTGCATCTAATTCATCAGTGTTGCTTTAGCAACATGGTGCAGGATGCAAATAGTCTCCTTGGTAACACTTCCTAAGTGTCATTAGATAAGCGATGGTTATAAACACAGAAGCAGATCAGAATGAGAGACATGCTCTTGTGCTTGTGTCTCATCTATAAAGTGCCTTTTTATAGCCCCAGACATCATGATCAGCAGGATGGCAAAAGGACAGAGGAAAGCTGTTTTGAGGATCGTAGTTCTTGTTCACGTTTTATATGTTGTGTTTTTAACCCAAGTCAGAAAACCCCACACCAGTGATGATGGGATTTTCTGGCTTGTTTCAAAAAAGGTTTTAGATAAAGTGAGAGTGTGTCCCTGCCTACTGATGGCACTTGTCAGAGTCATAGACCAAGTGTCTTCCCGACTCTCCAAGTGATGTAGATTGCAGACCTTTCTGCCCTCTACCCTAATGGCATACTCATGCCTTGGCGAGTTTTGGGTCTTCTCCCCTTCTGCTGAGCTTCCCCTGCCCCAGTATCTCTGCCAGAGGATTGCATCTTCAGAGCCAGATTTGGGTTTCTCTGTTAAATTCTGAAAGACCTTGCCTAGGGCTCAGCAACAAAGTAGGGATGAAGGTGAGAAATGGGGTTACTCAGTGCTCAGAAACAGGGCAGTTGTTTCTGCTGTTGGCATTGTCTTACAGAAAAGAGCCACGAATTGAGGCAGCTTTCCTAGCTCTCATGGTAATTGACTTCTTTTCCTAAAGCCTCAGCTGATGGACTGAAGGGATTGCATGGGAATCCTAGCTTTTGTTTAAACTCCCCTCAATTTTATACACTTCTCTGTTACAGAGAAAATCTGCAAGGTATAAAGAGAGTATGACCAATGACTCGACAATCAGAAAATGTACTAAAGAAACACCAATGCTTTTGTTTTCAACTAATCTTTATTTTAATCCCACTGGTCAATGACTCAGGATCTCATCCAAGGAGTCGGAATGCCTGATAATGTCAAACCGGAGCACATGAAGACAGTGGAAGGAGCCAAGTCCATGAGAGCATCAAAATAGGTTTATTCTGGTTTGGGGTGAAAGTCTGAAAGAGCAGATGGTTTTGTTTTATCATGAGCTTGACTCTGCTTCAATAGAAGCACACAATTGGTGAACTTTTGCATTGATTTTTTTTTCAAATCCTCTGAATCAAAGGTAAGCCAGACCCTTCAGGAAAACACCTGATCTGTGACCTCCAGCTCCACACACAAACCCAGTGACTGGAGACTGGCCGGTACAAGGGTCCCTTTTTCATTTCAGCAGAGTACTGCACCTTGCAATTTAGATACATGGCAAAAGACTGACTGCAAGTTTTCCTGTTCTAACATGAAAGGGAATTCGAACATCAATAATGTCTCTTTACGAGGAAAACTCAGAATAAAAAATGCCCAATCTTTCTCACAGCCCTTTTTTGCTCCCAGATCCTCTTGGAGTTCATCCATCTTCATCTCACTCATATCTTGTGGCCTTCATTGTAAATGTCAGTGCTAATTAATGAGACCTTGGTCCTCTCTGTAGTTAAGATGAGGAACAATCCAACATTTGTTTGTGAGATGGGTGCCCTTCCCAGGGGAAGGCAATGGGGCTGTTAGCCTTGTGTGTGACAAGCTGCAGGAGGTAAAGTCCGGAACACTGCCCTACCTCTGTAGTGTCAAAACCATGCAGATGAAGAGCTGGGAGAGAGAAATGTTTCCTAAACCTTTTAGGGATTAAAATGGAAAGTCTGGGCTCTTCTTACTGAATTGCCCCATCCCAGCCTGTCTCATCCAATCCCATTGAAGTGCTGGGCTCCTGGGAGCCCACAGGAGAGCACTGTTGAGTTTTTTTGCTTTGTAAAGGAGACATTGGGGTGGTTGGACCACAGGATGCCATTCCAGCCCTAAGGCAAAATGTTGCTGCTTTCCCTGCGCAGCATAATGACCTTCATGCAGTGGATCCTGGGACTGATTTGAAGGCAAAGTTTGTCTCTGCATCCAAATTGTTCTGCAGTAGAGAGACTGAGCAGCCGTTCCTCACCACCTTGGCCCGTGGCTTTGTAGGACATAGGAATTTTGGCGAATGACTCTGCTAAATGGGAGCTCAGCCCTCAACCCGCCCTCCCCTTTGCTGTGTGCAGAATAGAGCATTTCTCTCCAGGACAGCTGAATTGCTGTGCTTCTGACACGTGCCATTTCGATACCGAGTTCTTCAACATTTGTAAGCATAATTTTTTAAACTGCCTTGGGACAGGAAAATGATCTTTCTCCCCAATATTCCTGGCATATTTCTGCTGCAGAGCAGTGGGATAAAGCTTATGCTTCCTGCGAAAAATAAAGAGCAGGAGGGGTAAGTGAGGTTTTTCTGCATGCCCTCTCACGGTACTTTGAGGTCTCCAAGTAAAAACGTATGGAGGGCAAGAACAGACCTAAATCCTCTCATTGTCACCGCTTAACATACATGTCCCTGTGGTTCTTCACTGAGCTCTCATTTTGCAAAACCAAATTTGAAGCAATCCAGCACGATTTAGACCCGATTCAGACCTGGTCTAGCTGAAGAGCGGGCTGGCATTTTGCTCCCACAAACATCATAAAATGCAAAGTACCATCATATGTGACATTGCAGACTTTCCAGGTGGTCACAGACCAAGGTGGAGTTCAGCCTGAGACTCATTTCCCATGACAGGTAGGACCATGCCAGCTCATTTGAATGTGTGCCACCCTTTTGACACCTGTGGGGATCTCAGGAGGTGCATTGGCCCTGCCCACCCCCTGGGGTGGTTAATGCAGCCATGCTGCAACCTTCACCTGAGCTGGTTCAGGCACTTCTGCAATCCCATCCCAAATAGCACCTCTGCGCAATGTCGGTTCATTGGCCGTTCAGCAGAAAGAGCAATGCTTTTATACTCTCAGCCCTGTTTTCTGCAGCACCTTGGTTTTCCTTGGAGATCTGTTCACACATGAAGCCTACCCCTCTCCTTGAGGCTGATAGGAGCACAGGGCCCTGTGATGAGGCTGTGAGCAAGAAAACCCCAAATCTCAGCTCACATACCTGAGACCAGGGGGGTCTGTGTTGTGCAATTGCAAACTCCCTTTAAATCAGTGTCTCAGTACAAGCAAGGCAGCTCTGTTTTTTTTTGAGACCTTGTGTTATTTTTCTTGGTCTGTACTGGGAATCAGGATTTTCACACCCCATTGTGGCTTCTTAAACCCACAAGGAAATCCTTTCTTTCCTCTCTTGATCAGTTGATGCTGTAGCTTTGCAATGCAGCCTCAGTTAGAGACAGGGGAGCACTGTAGGATCACACTGCGGCTCTGATGAGGCATGCTCCATCCCATATGGGGTGGTGACAGACATCACTCCCCAGCTCCTAGCCCCCACTGCTCCTGTCCCATGTGCACTGGCTGCTCCATATCTGCAAACCAGTCTCCCCTGCCAGCCCCCCAGTGCCAGATGCTGATCCCCATCCACCTCCTGACAATTGTGGTGGTCTGTAGATGGGGACTCAAGTGAGTCCCTGCAACAGAAGGGCATCCTAGTGCCCAACTCAGCAAATGAGATTCCTCTCTTTATCCCCCCCCATCCTGACCTCCAGTTCTCCCTTTGCTGCCTGTTTCTGTGAATATGCTCCATTTTGCATTTCTTCACAGAAAAATAGATGTGACTGCAGCCAGAAACCCTTCCCAAGCAGCTGGGTCAGCCACGGGGGAACTCTCCCTTTGACACAGAGGTCCCTCATTCAGTATTCACCTCTGACAACAGATGACTTTTGGCCAGTCTCTTCTTGTTCAGATGCGGGTGTTATCTGTCACTCACTGGGTGCTTCTTCTGCAGCTGGGAGCTGCTTTCACACCATGCAGTCATATGCTGTGTCTTGGACTGGCACCCTCTCTGTTATTTCTATATTTTTAGTGGCCTTCCTTGCTCAATAACATTCATTATCTGTATTTTTTTTGTGATAAGCATCTCCTTAGCAGAATATTAATGTATATAATTAAGATAGTATTTTGCTCTTGAATTACACTGTTCATCCCCAAACTGACTTAATTACACAGCTGCTCCCCTGTGTTAATTTAAAAGCTTAAATATGGAGATGGGGGCAAAATTTCTTCCTCCAAGGAGAAAAACTCCATTTCAAATTTCTAGCTGTGTTGAAAACCGTGGTTTCTCTGTTTTGAGGAGGGGAAGAAGTCAAGGGAATGGTACTGCTGATTTTTGTTCTAATCCTCTACATAAGGAGTGAACCAGAACCCCCCTTGATTTTTGCTTCCCTAACAGCCAGATGAAATCTGTCAGACAAGGCACCTGCTTTTCACCAGCTTCCAGTTTGCAAACCATAAACCTAGCTTAAACAGCAGCTTTAACCTCTTGGTGTTACAACAAGCAGGAAGAAAAATGCCTCCACACAAGCCTGGAGGATTACTTCAGCTTTCTGCAAGGCAGTTGAGAAGTTATATTCAATTTTGCTGTCAGTTCTTCTGCTTTAAAACATTGCCGCTGTAAACTATCAACCCCTCCTGCGAGTACATTCATGTTTGGAACTATGCAGTAAATCAGATTATAGCTGCCCTTTATTAATTCTGGTGCACAAGACTGCAGCAGTAGAGGTTTGATTCAGAGAAAATGAATGAGGATAGTTAAAGTCAAATATAAATAGAGCTCATTAAAAAACAAACAAGCTAGCCTCTGTTTCATTATGTGACTCTTAACTGCACCATGAGAATAGAAGTAGTTCTCATTAAAGTCCCCTAGCAGTCATGGTCTCTTCATCTTCTCCTGCAAACTTGCTCACAAGCTCTTAGGAGCTCCCAGGAACCTGAATCCAATCTGCACCTTGGAATGGGAGGGAAAAAGAGAAAGCAAACAGATGCCTGTGTGCATGTGTACACAAAAATTGAATGTAACCCTGCCAGCACATCCATGTCCCATTTGAGCTCCTAGCTGTGTCTGTACGGAGTACTACCACTCCCTGTATCTAAGGCCCCTCTCTTATGCTTTCAGAGGGGGTCTTTTCTAAGACCCCTCTCCTGACTTTGCTAGGCTAAGCCAAAGGAGCTCTTCGATTTCTCGTCCTCTGTCCCATGCTTCAGCTGGGGTTCATCCTGTGGGTGCTGGTGCTGCTGTGGAGCCAGATCCCCATTTCCCTCCAATGTACTGCTGCAGCCAACTGGTACCTGGGGATGGGCTTTGTCGTGGGGTCAGGATCGCTCCCTGGCTGCAGGGAGGAGCATCCCCTCTGTGCCCCTCTGACCACCAGGACAAAGCCCAGCATTGCCTGTAAAATAAGGAAAAGCTCCTTGTTCTCAAGCACAGCCTGTGGGGAGCCCCTGCCCTTTCATCATCATCCCTCAAGGAAAGCTCAGACTCTGGTTTACACAGTCCCCATCCCTGTGTAGGTGGGTTTGTTCATTTCTGGTGGGCTTTTAAGTACATATGTTTTGGGGGAAGGGAGAAAGTAAAACTGCAGTGATGCAGTCAGAGCATGGAAAAAATCCAGCTATGGTAACAAAATAGAGTGTATAGCAGTCTCTGAAGAAGAAGGAAAGGTTGCAGAGTGGTACCCAAAGCTTCCAATTCACTAAGATTCAAGCAAACATTAATTTTAATGAGGCTTCAGCTATTGCCTTAATGAATAGGTCACACTTACCTTCATGAGATCCTGGTCATGCAGACATGGCAACTGGGAATAGAGTCCTGGAAAGGATATTGAGCAGTGTTTGAAAGGAAGACCTGCAGTTCTGAAAAAAGAAGCTACTTTTAAAGCAGTCTTAAAGCATGTTTTCTTTCAAAAAGGGTCTGTTAGAGAAAAGGCCACATGAGTCTCATTACTGCTAGTGCAAAAACACCAGTGGGAGGTTAGTATTCTGCTAAGGGAATAAAACGGCAGTATCTCTTGAGCAAATCTATTCCCACATGAAGAAGAGAGCTCAAAAGCAAATAGCACCTGTATGCTATTTACAATTGCAATTGAACACATATGGAGCCTGTAAGGGCTGTATCAGTTGCACTTTTCTCATGGTTTCCTGCTGCTACAAGCACCAGTTCAATCCCACTGTTACCACCAGTTCTATCCCAGTATTAGTAGCACGGGGAGCATGAGGTCATGGACTCCTCGATATTTTAAAGCAATACATCATCTACTCCTGCTCTCTGCAGTCTTAACTGGCGTGATGCCTGAGTGCCTGCCACAAGGGCTCCCTCTCTTCCAACTTTATGCAGAAAACCATTCCAAAGTTTTAATTATTTTTAATTCCTGATTGCAGAGCACTTTGGTGTGTGCAGATGGAAATCAGCAGAGAAGTGTTAGTTCATTGCACTTTAGCATTTTTTATGTATACATATGTTTTGCAAAAAGAGTTGCAGCTTACTCAGAACCTGGACTGGACTGTGCCTGACTGTTTAATTACTGTTCACACAGATGTAATTTGCAAAGTGTTAATTTCCAAAATCAGTGCACTCTAGTCCAATAAATATTTAATGCTTCCATCTGCCATTTTTAGGTTAGTTACCAACCCTGCTAGATGGAGTCTATGAAACAGTTGTCTACTGTTGACATAAAGAAGGGTTTTGAGATCCAGCTTGCATAGAAACCTAGAAAAAAAAACAGATTTCCTGAACCCAGTTATATTCTCTTTTCTAGATTAAATATGGATAGGGAGAACATTGCATATGGAGACAGGTTTATAGCAGGCAGGCCCCTGTAAAATTACATCTTAATTTTATGAAGGGAAATACATCGAGCCTTCCCTAGTGAGACTACGACTGCAGATCCCAGGTCTGAATTTTGAGACCAATCTAGCTGGAGCGTACAGCATCTTTTCCAGTGGGAACAGCCTAATAAAGTGGGGGACATTTCAAAGAGCAAAGAGGAGGTGGAGAAGCCCCTTGCCTGTGCAGGCAGCAGGGAGCGCATGGGGCAATGCAGGCAGCCGGGGCTCCTGTGGGTCTTAGTGGGATGTCGACCTTGCTTTCTGCAAAACTGAGGGCAGCAAAACTTGCCTCTCTCTGGCTGTGCTGCAGACTATTTAATTACTGATATTCATGGAGGATTTGGAGCTCTCTGGATGGGAATGCCCTGTGCCAATGCAAATGTCACTGCTCGCAGTACAACATGGGGGCCTCGATGATTAGTTCTGTTTTACTGTTTTTCTTGTGTAATTATGTTTAATTCATGTGTTGTTTCATCAAAGTGTCTGTCACTCAGGGCTTGGCCTCATCTTCTTAAATAGCTGGATATAAAATTACAATGTGTTCCTCCAGTGAGACCATATTTCCAGAACATCATGACAGCTTTATTATGACACAGGGTTTTCTGTTTAGCTGAACAGATACACTGAATTATCCTTTTAAAAAAATCAAAACCTCTTGCAGTTGGATCCTTAGATGTGCGCCATTTTCCATACAGGGTTACCCTAAATCAACATAATAAGGGTGGCCTTTAAGCTTTCTTGCTCGGTCAGGGTGGGACAGTAGTTACACAGGAGCCAAGTAGCAAAGCACCAAGCAAAGCATGGCTGATTTTCCAGCAGCAAATGTTCTCTCTTTGAGTCCTTCCCCAGCCTAGTGGCAGCTTCCAGGAATTATTCAGAAAGTAGTGAACTAGCAGGAATGTTCCTCATATCCTCACGGTGCCTAAAGCTCCTGTAGGAACCTGGAGAAACATTGCTGCCAGTACCACCATGCTTTAAATACCAGACCCCAAGCTGCTGCTGTGAGACGCTGTGAGATGGGTGGAAGCCTGTGACTGTAAATATTAATCTGTTGTTTGGATAATGCTTTTAGCAGTGCATTCAGATGATTGCCCAAAGCTATTCCCCCCTCTACTCTAAGCCTAATGGGACCTGAATGAAATTGTTTCCTGTATCTTTACGCTGCGTAGTTGGATGTAATACCTGCAGCTAATGCACCAGGGACATGCAACAGCAAAGTTCTTAGAGCACTTGGTGAAGATGCTGCTGTAGTGGATGGATGGCTTTTGGGATGGGTAGATGTGTCAATCAATCTATAATGAGACAGCAGGGGCCCAGCTTAAATGCCTCTATGCGAATGCATTTAGCATGGGGAATAAACAAGAGGATTTAAAGATGTGCATATGCCTTCAGGGATATGATCTTACTGGCATCATGGAGACATGGTGTGATGGCTTCTATGACTGGAGTGTTGGAATCAAAGGATACAGGCTCTTCAGGAAGTTCAGGGAGGGGAGATGAGGAGGGGATTTTGACCTCTATGTCAATGACCAGCTGGAGTACATGGCGCTCTACCTGGGGATGGATGGAGAGCCAACTAAGAGCTTATGGGTAAGGATTAAAGGGAGACTGGGGACAGGTGGCATTCAACTGGAGGTCTGCTACAGGCCACCTGATGAGGAAGGCTGAGTAGATAAGGCCAAAGGCAAGGTCCTGCACCATTCGGGGCAACTGCGGGCACAAATACAGGCTGTGGGAGAATCAATTGAGAGCAGCCCTGAGAAGACAGACTTGGAGATGGGTTGACAAGAAGCAGGACATGACCTGGCAGTGTGCACTTGAAGCCCATAAAGCCAACCGTGTGCTGGGCTGTGACCAGGTCGAGGGAGGTGATAATCCCCTGTACTCCACTCTCATGGGACCCCACCTGGAATACTGTTTTCAAACCTGGAGCCCCCGGCATAAGAAGGATGTGGACCTGTTGGAGTGAGTGCAGAGGAGGCCATGAAGGTGATCAGGGGGCTGGAGCACCTCTCTTGTGAAGACAGGCTGAGAGAGCTGGGCTTGTTCAGCCTGGAGAAAAGAAGGCTCTAGGGTGACGTTACAGCAGCCTACCAGTACTTAAAGGAAGTCTATAAGATATCTGGAAAGGGACTTTTTACAAGGGGCATGTAGTGATAGGGCAAGGGTAAATGGCTTTAAACTGAAATGAGGTTGATTTAGATTAGATATTAGGAAGAAATTCTTTACTATGAAGGTGGTGGGACACTGGCACAGGGTGCCCAGAGAAGCTGTAGCTGCTTCATCCCTGGCAGTGTTCAAGGCCAGGTTGGACAGGGCTTTGGGCAACCTGATGTAATGGAAGGTGTCCCTGCCCGTGGCAGTGGGGTTGGAACTGGGTGATCTGTAAGATCCTTTTCATTCTATGAATATGGATTAAAAAAATTTGCTGTATTGTGGAACAAGCTTTTGAATTGCTACTGTGGTGGGCTATGCTTGTGTAACCAGATACTACAGTCTCTTTTTGGCCTTCATGTAGGTGGTGATGTGCCAGAAAGGGATAAAAAAAAGAGAAGCATGGGAAATGGTGTTGGAAGCATAATTTGCAATATTGCTTTGGCACAAGTCCCTCACTTTATTTTATTTTATTTTTTTAAGATGACTTTTAAACTGTGTGGGACAGGTTCTGAACGGCTGCTTCACAGCTTCATTAACCAGCACCTAACCTGACGAAATCCCCAGTGCCTGGAAATTATTATTAAAGCAAGCGGTCCTTTTGGCTAATGCCTGTGTCTCCACTGCACATGCTGGTCCTCTACTGTGTCCTGGGCAGTTTTCTTGGCTACTTTTATCTGATTTCTTGAGGGAGCCAGGACCGCTGAAGTGCAGGGGGGCAGGAGCTGTCTCACTGTTTCTTACTGTTGATCTGGACATGTGCATAGTGGCGAGGCAGTCCTACGGAGTGCGAAGCACTTTCTGTCCGTATCGTCTCCTTTGCAGCAGTCTCTGCAGGAGACCAGAATCTGAACACTGCAGAAATCTGTTTGTTAATGTAAGAGAGCATGGTCTGCTAGTCACAGCAGGGTTTAGTGAAGATAAATCCTTCTACTTGATGTTCCCAGCTCTCCCACGCAGATACCAAGGCATTTCACCTCTCTGCGCTTCACAGTGACTATGTGTAGGGACGAAGGAAGGAGAGACGCAGAGTTGCATTATTGTTGTCATGGTCTAATTCTAACCAGAACCAAGTGGCAGGAAAGAAACGGCAGTTCTCGGTTCCTGCTGCCGTCATTTAGACCCAAATTAGTGACTCAGTGTGAGCTCAAAGGAGGTTTGAGCTGATTAGTGTTGGGTCTGTTGCAGGCCCCCATTTCCTCCCTTGCAACTGGTGGCCACATGACAGAATCCATCTTTTTTTGGCCAAAAAAGAAACTCCTTTGCCCCCCATCTCTTATTTTGAAAGGTAGTTTCAGCTAAATCCCCTAATGGAAATGGGCTTGCTGTGCCATGCAGTATGTCCTGAAGTAAGGGATGGGGTGGGGTGGTCTGGCCAGGGAAAGAAGCCAAGTCATCCCTGTGGAAGGATCATCTCATGTGGCTTTGCTGAAAATTGAAGGGATTGTACTGAAGACTGAAGGCATGTTTGAACTCAGGGTGTGGGTTGTCATTTGACCAGCCTGTTGCCTTGATCTGATGAGCTTTTGTGCAATTTATGGGAGATTCTTCTCCTGCTGACACCTCTTCTCTTGGTGATAGCCCTGTGCAAGCAGGACCTTCCTGGAGATGCTGGTACATGCACTGATTTGAGGGTTGTCCCTTGCAGCCTCCTGAAGGCCAGTTTCCCAGGGCTGTGATTTTCACTTTTTTGTTAACCAAGAGTCGAACTGTGCATCATGAATTCAGCAGGTGGAGCCAACAAGGCAGCCTTATTGCTTCCTCCCATGTATTTCTACCACAGGATCCAATCTCCTGTCTTGCAGAGGCCAGGCAAGATCATTCAGTTTGCACAAGAGTGGGCCTCCTGCAAGACAGTACTTTGCTTCTTCATCATCTCACTACAGAGGTCTGA